GGAGCCTCCAAAACATCCCAATGTAAAGTGTTTGATTTGGACACTGTGCAGTCGACAGAATTTCGATCATTATAAGGATTAACATGGATTCAAGCTAATCCAGTTAATTAGATATAGTAGTGTCCGCATTAACACACTGATGGGTTTAAGCTAACGATGCTTTAAAGTGAAAATGTTACAGTGTACAGGCAGTAAAAGAGTTGCTTGGGTTATACTAAGCATGGCAATTGATGACAAAACTATTTTAATGGGGGAAAACATGTTGTAAGCAAAGGAAATATTATTAACATAATCACAAGGCCAACATTTGTTTCATTTGCTGTCTCTCTCTTTTCAACATCTGAATGCTGAAAATTTCCACATTCTCATTTTGGGGTGTGGACAGCAAACTGGCTACAGGCGGTCATTTAGGCAAACAAGAAACATTGGATAATGCTTTCAGGTTTACCCTTGTTGAACATAAGTGACAGTGACAGTGAATATCTTCCTTTTCTGATCACTGTAACTCTACGATTTTGAGTTAATATTTCTCTCTCTTGTATGAATTTATTACAGGGAACTAACTGTGTGGGGTGCAGGAGTCAGACTTTTAATTATCTGAATGCAGAGTCAGTAAAATAGTACTGTCTGAGAAAGATCATGAAGTGCTACATGAGGAAGAGGAGTAAAAGAGAAAGTATAGGACAGGGTAAGAAAAGGGTAAATTAGAGTTTTTGTATCCACTCTGAACTTTCTCTGTGGTCTGGCCGCCGCTCTTCATTGTGAAATGCAGTAGCGCTCCCTGTAACTCAAAACGGGAACTCAGTCTTTATTCAAACATATTGCCTCTGCAAGTTGAAATGAGAATTTGGTTTTTCTGCTTAAGCTCCCACCCTCTTTTAGGGACATTTCTGTTTCTGTCTGATCTGACATAATGATTTCATCCATGGAGAGTGGAAAATTACACAAGACCACCATGTTATGTTTGGAGTTTTCTCCAGCCTGCCCTCTGTGCCATCTGCCTTGTTTACCACATGAGAAAGCTTCTTCCTTCTCTCTTCTCTTCTCTGCTCTTCTCTTCTCTCCGATGCATGATTTCAAGCCTGATACTAACCTCTATTGACCCCTGAAGGCTTTTCCAAAACAGGCCCAGTCAGGATGTGGACATTCAGCACACTATCATGTGATGTGCAAGGGTGATAAATTAGGATTTCTTGCTTTTTGAGCCTTTGGCCAGTTTGAACTCTTGTGATTATATCAAACATTTTTTTAAAAAGCACTCAATGTGATGTTGTAGTTTTGAGCTGGGTAAAGTTTTAGGTCTGGATATGATGACATTCTATTTTCAAGTGCATGTTTGTGGATCTTCTTGAGCACTGAAGTGTTTAAGCAAAGTAAACGTACAAAGAAAGTAAAAAAATGTATTATAATTTTCCACACCTTTCTGTGTGTATTGTGTAAAAAAAATGAATTACTTTTGTTACTCACACAATGCAGCCATCTCTTTGGGAAGGTCGGGGAAGAGGTGGCTACTGGCCAGTAGGTCAAAGGGCAAGTGGCTCCTCATGGAGTTAAAGGTGAAGGGGTACATAGTACGAGGGAAGCCAGTCATGTGACGCACTTGGTGTTCTCTGTTGGCTGCCATCATGGAAAGTGCTGCTGGTGGTTCAGGTGACTACTCTTTGATTAGCTTGCTGTTCCCTCTTCCTGCGTCTTTGTCAGGGGCCTGTGGTGAGAGTGAAAAAGGCCTGTGGCATTCAGCCCCTCTCAGCTGCTATCAGGTGACAGAGAGGTGAGCGAGATGCCGATGAGGAAGGAAGAGCTGGAGAAACACCAGGAGCCAAGTGACCAAGATCTGAGCAGGTCCAGACTCTATCGAAAAGGAAGGAAGAGAAGGTTAGACTCTGGAAGCAAGCTTAACTCACATAAAGCCAAATCAGTTAAAACGTTTAATTCACTTTAATTCACTGAGTATTAGTGGTCGCTTCCATTCACTTTCTGTGAACAAAACAATACTTGGAATGTGACAAGAAACAAAAACAAAGAAGATGAAGAACAAAAGTGTAGAAGAAACAGTTGACAGAGCAGAAAGGCTCTGCCTGTCTTCCAAGTAGTGCAGTGATTTCGGGCAATGCCATATGATTTCAATCAGCAGGACTGTACTGTATTATAAAGGGTCTCTCTGTTCCCCCTGCCAACCTGACTCTAGCCAGCCTGCCAGAAAACAGCCAGCCACAACATGGGTACAATTAACCCTTTACAACAGCAGACACACACACAACTTATTCATTCTTACTGTGCCCCATGACATAAACCCTCTGTGCTTCCAGTTTGCTGAAGGTCTCTGATGATCATAACTTTTCTCAGTTTTTCTGTGCTCACACCGTGGCTCTGAGACACCATCAGTAAGTTAAACAAGAGCAGCCGTCCCTTCATAGTTCCCTATTATCCCGTTCAGTGATTTCATGAAGTGGGTGAGGCTTAATTCTGTGGTGGAGCTGTGGTACGTTGAGCTTGGCCAAAGAATGTCTTGTTGTTTTGGGCCTTCATTGACTCACTGACATGGAAATCAATCCCCCAGAGGAGGTGAGAGACAGAGTGAGAGATTTATGAATTTACAAATATAAAAACAAACAAACAGCCAATTCAAATTATAAGCATATCAGCTGCAGCATCAAATGTGATGTACACAATAATACTTCAGTAATTATAATCCAATAATCTGATATACATGAATGTGTAATGAATACTTTTACTTTTAGTACTTTAAGTATGTTTTGATAATACTTTTTGTACTTTTACTTAAGTAACATTTTCAATGCAGTAATTTTACATGTAACAAAGTATTTTTACACTGTAGTATTGCACTTTTACTCAAGCAAAGGATCAGAGTACTTTGTCGACTGCCGCTTGCAGGTCATAGTAAAATTTGAAATATATTTACATTTTTTTGACAATTCAGTCTACAGTTAAGTGAATTACCTTTGCTGGCATGCTTAACCTTGTGCTAATTAATTATACAACTATGATAAGACCTTTATCTATAAAGACTCAGTTGTCAGTTTATCAGGATCCCGTTTTCAAATGAATGCAGTCTAATGCAACAGCCCAGCTATAAATGTTTTCTTGAAACTGCTTTAGGGAGGTTTTGTGGGTCATTTAGAGACTTAGGTTTGCGGTGCTGTTGAACTGTATTATAGTGAGAGACGGTTCTAATATTTAGTCTATACTCAATGATTTAAATGTGGTGCACAAAACCATGCATTTGCACTACTATTATTATAATACATAAATTCTTCTGCATCCAGCTGTTTTTACAGCAGCTATTTCTTTCCACACACACACTATTCAGTACGTATTGCACATTTACACAAAAAGCCACAAAGTCTGCACAGCGAGTGTTGTTTTTAAAGTCATATTTCCCATATAGATATATTTTCTGTAACCGTTTGGCTCTGTTGCAGTTTTTCTTCACTGTAGGGGCCAGTTAGGGAGAGTCCCTGCAACTGTTTTCACAAAGAACTTTTGTATTTGATGTTCAAAAAAATGTCAAACACAGGTTGGACAAAGTGTGTGGTGATAAAAAAATACATACATGCACTGGTGTGGAATGATTCCCTTAAAGTAAAATGCATACACATGGCTGTCTAAATAAAGGACACAGAAATATACAGGCCCGGACTTGTAAGCTGCAGAAGTTAACATACACAGATGTTTTGTGACTTTAATCATGTTCATGGGCAAGTAATCAGCCTTCACACATACTGAAACACCACCTGAAAGCTGAAAGCATGAAGAAGGGAGTGCTCCTAAACCAGTCAACCATCTTTAACCAGCTGACCAACCAAACCAATCAAATTCAAAGATTGAAATCACTAATATAAAAGCCAGATGTATAAAAAGAAAAGATTAAATGTCTAAAGCTGAAAAAAGCTGGTAAAAAACACAGATGGAAACAGAGGAAAAGAAAGAGAGCATCTGGCAGGCCAAGTGTACAAAGTAAACAGGGTCCTGTTAATTAGATCCACACTGGAAACTGGATTAATAAGAGAAAGAACAAACTGTGGTAAAGCAGGAGGAGGATAAAATGGACAGGGTGGTTGCTAAAAACATACAGAAAAATAAGGAAACTTTTATTTTCTCTTATTTCATAAACTATGTAATAATGTGCGCCTTAGCCAGGGAATGGTTTCTGTCTCTCTAATGACACACACGCACCCCTGCTCCCTGGCGTTCCCTTCAGGGGGAATACACCTTGGGTAGGCCAACAAAAGCAGTGCTGTGTCTTTGGGCCTCCAGGCCTCAATGCTGCTTTTATGAGACATGGATGGATTGGGTCAGACTGGGTCACCTGGTCCTGGTCCCCCCTGACACACAGGCACACATACACCAGCACACACACACACACACACACACACACACACAACTGATGCTCCCTGGTTTTCAGAGTATGGGGATTAAAAGAAGCTTTGGTGTAAAAACAACAGGGCTTTCTATCACTCTTATCTTTTCCAGCAGGCCACCACATTCTGTTGACTTGCTTTCGCATAGCCCCAATCAAACTATGCTTTCAGTGTTTCATTTATCATCGCAGTTGAAAACATCTTTCAGTTGTAAACCAAAGTGTTTATTAGGAAGATCATCTGGATGTTGTTATGCTAGGTGTAAACGTGAATGGTGTGTTTTTTCCAACCTAAATCATCTTGCGATTACAGAAACTACACACTCACACACACAGGTCATTACTGTCTACACTAGGCTGGTTCATTTTTTAAAAAGTCGTATACACACCAAAACCACCTGTGTCCAGACTAGCATTTCACACACAAACTGTATCAGTTCCTTTCACTTACTGTTACGTTTTGTCACATATGTTCCACTCAAATGCAAGCATACAAAAATACATTTGTATTTTACAGTATGACAAGTTTTTTTAATTTAAAGTGAGTGATCAAAGACAGGCTTATAAGTGACAGAAAGCTGCTTTTGTAACTTTACTGCACCCAGTTGTCAACACAAAACATCAAGCCATTATTTTAAGGTGTTTCCTCTCTGGAGACAAATCAGTTGTCTGATTATAAAAAAAGCTGTACTGTACACTATGTACTGTATATAATGAAAACTTTGCAGGAAGCAGTGTTGTTTAGGTCTTAGATCCATCCAGCTATACTGTATTGAGAATTCAGTTGCGTTTTTCTGCACATTATAAAAAATGTCCTATTTGTTTGGAGGTAATGTGGTGAGGCATTTTCAGAAAAAATAGAGGCCTGAATAATTAATGCTTGGTTTTAAGGTTGAGAAATGTGCAGTAACAGGAAGTCTCCATGTCGTTCAGTGTCAGTCAGTGAATGGCTTCAGTCAAAGTGTCCAGGAAATGAGGTTAGATCTAGGCGTGTTTATAAAAATATTTATAATCATTTCTCTTGACCAACCTCACCATAAACATCAGTGCATCATGCAAACATAATCTTAGACGGTCACACTTTAGCTCCTGGATGACTGAGCCAGATCAAGTTCACATCACATTGCTGTAATGATGTCATATAGTTTGTGTGATCATGTGGTTGTTGAGTCATCAGTGTGAATATATCAGATGGATTGCATGATGGTGTTTTTTTAAAAGTGTGTTCACCCTGCTTATGTGTAAATGTGAAAACACAAACTGTTTGTTTGATGAAAAACAATCTTTTGGACTGAGAATGGGCCAACATAAACTTCACCTTAATTTTTCATACTTTTTTCTCCATCAGTAAATAGAAGGCAAACACGATGTTTTTCCTCTTCTCAATAATTTAGTCATCTTTCTGTTTCCAAACTTCCAGTGTGTGGGTTTTGGCCAAAGTGATGCCAGGTATTCAGTGGTAAGAGCCCCAGGCTTTCTTCTTTTGAAATTGCTGGTCTGGTTATCTGATGTGGTTCATTTGTCAACATGAGCTTGGCTTATCTGTTGTTCTTTCTCTTTTCTTCTGAAATCTGTTTTCTATTGTCAGTGTAATAAATCAAACAAATATTTCTGCTTTTTGTGCTGAGCCACTTTTGCCTTGCAGAACAGAAGAAGGTTTATTGTTTTGTTCAGGTTATGTTTCAAGAGGACAAACATTTGCTGCTCTTTTCAACTGCTAGAGGGCCAAGTGAGACTCACAACAATGAGCCAATGACTGGTTGTGATAAACTGTGCAAAAGGCAGCCTCCAATTTGAAGTTAGTGTCGCTTAACTAACGAGTAAATGTGACAGTCAAGTGCTACTAATGTGACACAAAGCACTAACATTGCACAAAGCTTGAATTACTCTAAAATAAAAATCATATTATTTCAATACAAAGGTATGTGCTGGGTCGCCAGTGTTACCAAAACAAACACATTAGCTTTAGCTACTAACACATCCAGAAGAAGAACACCACAGCTGAATCAAATTTGAGTCCTTTGGCTGCTTTTAACATGCTCCATCTCAAAAAGCCAAACTGGTGTCAACCCTGGTTTTTGCTCTTTCTTTGCCCCACTGTCGGTGTGTAAAACAACATAATGTCTTGATTCTGGCAGGCACCATTTCGGACATGTAGCTACTGAGAGCTCCTCCTGGCTGTTTGAAATGACTGCTAATGTATGGATCAATTCATGAAAACAGAGCATAGAGAAGCTAGAATAACAAAAGAAGTATTGTCGGCACCATAATGTCATGCAGGGGGTAAAATAACTGAGATGGACTTCATCCTATCCCATTGTCACATGATTTATCAGACAATGTTTTAGTTAATGCATCTTTAAAGACAGTGTTTTGAAACCACATAGTCTCATATGTATGAAGCCTACAGAGCTGCAGAGTAAACTGAACTTAACCCCCCCATAACAGCCAAATTGCAAGGGAAATCGTG